GTCTCCCTTGCAGCCAGCCCAAAGCTGACCCCAGCATTCAGGGTATCCCACCCGTGCCCAGGGCAGGGGAGATGATCCAGGGGCAGGGCAGTGCTGGGGAGGAGATCCAGGGCCTTGGAGGTCTCTCCAAAAAAACAAAGACAGGCCAAAAAGAGTGACATAAATAAAGGAAGCCATGGGAAAGCTGCCAAGGAATGACTGTGAGCTCCTGATATTCCCACATCACTTCCCAGTGAGCAAGGGGAACCCCAGCACCTCCAACACTCCCTTTCCTAGGGAACCTTACAGCCAAACAACTGCTGGAAGCTTCTTTTCCAGGTCTCTGGAGCGAGGCAGCCCAGGGACAGGCTCAGTGAACAGGCGGAAGGGAGGATGAACAGGGATGGAGCGGGAGCTCCGCCGGAGCAGAGCCCTCCCAGGGCTCATCCTGCTGGGACGGGGGGCTGAGCAGACCCCGAGCACAGCACTCCCTGCATCCCACACACACTCCCTTTGGAGAGGCTTGCTCCAGCCCCGGGATCTGGGCACACAGCTCCCAAGGGCTCTGCTCTGCAAAGGATCACATTCCCGGGGCAACACAGCCCTGGGACCCTCCCCAGTTAGCACTGGGGACCACCAGGACTGCACTGGGATCTGCTGGAGAGAAGCATCCTGAGGGGAAAGGACAGGGGGATCCAGGGAGCCCAGAGCTGCAGGGGAAGCCAAGGGTGCAGGAGCCACGTGGGCACAGAAGCAGCTCCCACACAGCTTCAAACCTGGAAGTGCTGTCCAGGGTCCAGGACAAACCTGGAAGTCCTGCCCTGCTCACAGTCCAGGACAAACCTGGAAGTCCTGCCCATGGCTGTGCCAGTGCCCACAGCTCAGCACACGTGTCACACACCAGCACAGCATGGAAGCTGCATCCAGGCCCTGGATCCAGGAGCCCCTGGCTGGATCCTCCACCAGACCCACTGCCCACCCAGCCCATCCTGCACTCCGCAGTCCCCTCTCCGAGGACAAGAGCCAGAGCCAGCCTGCTCCACACAGCCATTCCAGGAGGAAAGGGAAAACAAATCCTGCTGCCTGCTGCTCCCAGCTTGCAGGACCAGAAATTCCCAGCACAGGGGAGGCAATGTCAGCTTGGAAACAGGCATGGAGAAGGGATCAGCAACCCTGACCCACTGGGATGCTAATCGTGGTTTTCTATACCAGCTTTAAAGGAAAACTTAGACACTGGGAAGAAATTCCTCCCTGTGAGGGTGGGAGGCCCTGGCCCAGGTTGCCCAGAGAAGCTGTGGCTGCCCCTGGATCCCTGGAAGTGCCCAAGGCCAGGTTGGACGGGGCTTGGAGCAACCTGGGCTGGTGGAAGGTGTCCCTGCCCATGGCAGGGGTGGCACCGGATGGGCTTTAAGGTCCCTTCCACCCAAACCACTCTGGGATTCTGTGATTCTATGATAAAACCACAAAATAGGAAATGAAAAGATTCCTCCCCACCTTGCTGTGGTAAACCACGGATTTTGGAGACTTTCCCAGTTTCACCTGCTGCTGTTGGCCCCTTTAGCACCTGCTGAGGGTCATTTCACAAGCAAGGGCAGCCAAAGCCCCCCACAGCCAGCCCAGAGCCCTCTCCCAGCTCCCAGATCTGCACCAGAGCCCCTTCCCAGCACAGCACCAGACCCCAGTCCCAGCTCCCAGCAGAGAGAAAAGAAAGGAAAGTGTCTGTACCTCGGGACTTACTGTGTGTTTCTTAGTCATTCTCCAGAGGATGCAGGTGAGCAGCATGTGGCCCAGGGCCGACGAGATGAACACAATGAAGGCATTTTCATGGATTGCTGGATCGACAAGACAACAGTTTTCCTGCTCAACCCGAGCCAAGAGCACAAGGGGGACACGGGGCAGGATTTGGGAGGGTGAGGGACTGCTCTGGGCAGGAGGTGGTCCTGCTGGCAGCCCCAGTGCCCAGGTGATGCTGAGCCCCCAGTGGGGTCTTTGCAGGGGACGGGCACAGCACAGCCCCATAACCTGCCTGTGGTGCCTCGTGGCCCCCTGGAAGGGGACACAGGCTGCTGGAACACTTATCCCAAAGGGCCAGGAGGGTGTCTGTGTGCTCACATGGCTGGAACCTCAGGGACCCTCAGGAGCAACTCGGCATCACCACTGGTTTTAGGGATGAGGAAACCACAGCACAGAGGGCAGGGGGTACAGACTGGGCCAGTCCAAAACCCAGGGAAGTCCATCCTCTGGCCTCCTGCATTACCCACCCACCAGCAGCCTCATCCCCAGCACTGGGGATGCCTCGTGCATCCCAGGTACAGGATCAGGCTGGAAATGCAGCTGGAGCAGCTCCTGAGGCCCCAAACCACCTTCAGCCCCTGCCCCTCAGGTGAGAGAATTGCACAAAAGTGCTGCTGTGTCAAACAGGTTCCCAGCCCCTTCTCCAGGAACCTCGGGCTGAGTTCCTGACCAGCAGAATACCAGGAATGACTGTCCCTGTTTCCCCTCCTGATCCCAAGGGAAGGGAAGCACACGAGGTGTGAGGTGAGATCTGAGCCATGTCCCACAGGGAGGATTAACCTGAGCCCCTTTTCATCCCAGCAGGCAGCTCAGGGCTGGAACTTTCCCCACAAACCTGGGATTAGTCTGAGCTGAGGATCTGAGAAACTGGGTCAGGCTCAGCTCCCAGAGTGGCTCTGTCCAGGGACACCTTGGCCTCCCCCTCCCAGAGCTGTGCACGAGGTGCAGACGTGGCTGCCCCAGGCATGAGGGGTTATTCAAACCCCAAAGGAGGTTTTCTAAGAGCAGGTGCCCACTCCAGACAAGTGAGAGAAGCCCCAGCAGCAGGTCAGGCTGCAGACCCTGCCATGGGGGGACACTGCAGGAAGGGTGGGAATGGGATAACTCACTGTGGGGCACAGGGAGTTCCCCAAGGGCTGGGGAAGGTCCTGGGACTCTTCACAACACCATAGCCCTGAATCCCAGACTGGTTTGGGCTGGGAGGAACCATAGAGATCATCCAGTGCCACCCCTGCCATGGGCAGGGACACCTTCCACCAGCCCAGGTTGCTCCAAGCCCTGTTCAACCTGGTCTTGGACACTTCCAGGGATCCAGGGGCAGCCACAGCTTCTCTGGGCAACCTGGGCCAGGGCCTCCCCACCCTCACAGGGAAGAATTCCCTCCCAGTATCCCACCTAGCCCTTCCCTCTGGCAGTGGGAAGCCATTCCCTGTGTCCTGTCCCTCCAGGCCCTTGTCCAAAGCTCTTCTCCAGCCCCTCCTACAGCTGGACACAATATCCATCCTCACCATCCAGCTGTGCAGGGACAGCCCACAGGGCTTTCCTGCCGACACATCCCAGCACAGGATTTGTTCCCACTGCAACAGCACCACCTTGCTGGCTCCTGCATTTCAGTGCTCTCCAGTCAATCCCTGGTGCCTCCCCCACACCTTGGGATGGAACAGCAGCTGGATATTGTCCCTTTGGGATGAAACAGCAGCAGGATATTGTCCCTTCCTATGAGACCATGTGTGAGAACAGCATTTCCCACCCATCATGACCAGGTTTGGCACATTGATTTAACCTGAAAAACTCTGATTCTGTTTTCAGGAAATTTTAGAGGGCTGGAGCTCCTCTGCTCTGGAGCCAGGCTGGGAGAGCTGGGGGTGTTCAGCCTGGAGAAGAGAAGACTCCAGGGAGACCTGAGAGCCTCTTCCAGGGCCTAAAGGGGCTCCAGGAGAGCTGGAGAGGGACTGGACAAGGGCCTGGAGGGACAGGACACAGGGAATGGCTTCCCA